TTAATCCTTAAAAATAATCTGTAAGCAGAAGACAAAGCTGAATATCTTACAGTGCTTCCCCACATTATTATATATAATCATAAACAAATAGGAAATAGCCTAAAAGTCAAATTAGAGGGCACTGTAACTTGATAAACTTTTTAAAAAAGATTTATTTATTTTCATTAGGAAGGCAGAGAAAGGAGAGACAGAGATTCTCCATTTATTGGTTCACTCTCCAAGCAGCTGCAATGGCCAGAGCTGTGCTGATCCAAAGCCAGGAGCCAGGAGCTTCTCCCAGGTCTCTCATGTGGGTGCAGGGGCCCAAGCACTTGGGCCTTTCTCTGCTGCTTTCCCAAGCCACAAACAGGGAGCTGGATCAGAATTGGAACAGCCTGGACTTGAACCAATGCATTTATGGGATGCCAGCGCTGCAGGAAGCATTAGACTGCCATACAATGATGCCAGCCCCTGGATTATTATTATTATTTTGTCATAATTTACTTGAAAGAGTTACACACACGGTGAGAGAGAGAAAGAGAGAGAGAGAGAGATCAATTTTAGATCTGCTGGCTCACTCCCTAAATGGCAGCAATGGCCACAGCTGGGTGACTATATCCAGAAGCTTCTTCCAGGTCTCCCTTGTGGGTACAGAGACCAAGCACGTAGATTTTCTCTGCTGTTTTCCCAGGCACATTAGCAGGTAGCTGGATGAGAAGTGAAGCAGCTGAGACTAGAAGTAACAAGCAGATGGGATGCTAGGATTGCAGGCAGTAGCTTTACCTGCAAACCAACCGTAATTCAACGGATTATTAAGAAGTGTTACAAATTTCAGGGATAAGATATGTTACGCAGTGTTAAGTGAGATTCTGAAGAAAATGTAAAAGGTATTGACAGTAGAATCAGCATAATTATATATCACTTGTTTGATGCCATACTTTCAAGTGGTATTAATTGAATCATATTAGTAAGGAAAGGTCCATTATACAAACATTGTGTCATGAATCATTTCCTGGTGTATATATTTTAAAACAGTGTTCATGCCATTCTAGTATAATTTATATTACTTGAAAATCAAGTTTTTAATAACTCATAATACTGAACTCAGCACAAAGTGCTTCTGAAAAGTTTTAACTTAGATTGAAGCAGCTATTTCAGCAATGTTTTTTTCAATGTTTTCTATGTTTTTCCTTAACTTCTTTTTTTACATTTTAAAATTCAATGCCTATGTGTGTTTCAAAAATCTTTAGTGACATTAAATCATTATAACAGAAATTTTCAAGTGTTTTGCACTAGGTTCTTTGGTGGCTGTTAGAATGAGAATCAAAGTTTCTAGACTCCAGGGTCCAAGAAGCAACTCCTCACCCTTGCCTCATAGTCCTTTACTTGCGAAGGACTGGGGACCATGTCCAACAGATGCATCATTTACTGCATGGATGCACTGGCTAGGAATGAAGCTTTTTTGCTCTTTTAAACCCAATCTCTGATACAAACGGCTAGCATGCTACGCAACCTGCTCGCAATGTGCCCTTTCTCTCTTTGGAATAGCTTTTAAGCAAATAAAATTATTAAAGACTTGATTTAAATTGAAGATTGCATTTTTCTATAAATTTTCATTTGGTTTCCATGGCAACAATTCAAATCAGACAATCTGCCTCCAAATTACTTATTGTTATTAGAATCCAATTTCATGTCTCTATTGAAACTAAGTAATGTTAAATAATGACCTTGAGAGAAAAAAATCTACCAAAACTAATTGCCTATGAAAATAGCTTTAAAAAGCATTCAGCTAATTTAAATTTAATTTATATATAAGCTTTAAAGCAGCAATCATGTCTCTGCTGCAAACAACAGGAGTGACCTAAATGCATATAAATGTTTTCACATGAATCACACTCCTTCCTAGGAAACCACTACTACTTAAATTATCTTATGGAAAACACTCCGGCTTTGGTTTATTCATGTTCATACTACTCCGAAACTGCAGAGTTAGGTTAAAATGAGAAATCTACAAAGAGAGAGGGAGGGATACATTTTCTTCAAAGGACTTGACTTATCAAATGTTACCTTGATACCTTGCTAGGCCTATATACTATTTTCCTATCGCAAAAACTCTTGCTTTTTTTTTTTCCACTTGAAGTCCTGTGATGAGCATCAAAAAGGATATATTCTGCTAAGAGTACACCACAAGGAAAAAAACAACCATACAGGCTGCAATTTTATGTGAATCATTTTGTTTCCTCACACCTTGCTGTGTTGAAGATGTGATGTCATTTGTTGACTGGGTCAGATATGTGATGTGCCAGTCTCTGTTTTGATTGTTGACCTTCTATTAACCAATTTAATCCTCACATCAAGTTTCTGAAGTGGGTGGTATTAGCCCTTAATCTTCCCAATAGCTGGCAAATGCCTATTGCTGTACTTTTTTTTCCTCTCCAAATCTCTTTCTCTGATGAAAGATTTCCAAAGCACTTTTTTCTAAAGCTGCAGATGTATGGAAGATGGAGGAGGAAACTCCTCCTAAATGTAGATAAAATAATTATTATAGATAACTGTACGCATGTAGGTGAACGTTCATTCTTCTCTTGGAAGTTGGACCGGCTTCATTACAACACGTACAGAAACAGTCTTCAAACACTGCTCAGCGGGGCTAGAGTGGGTAAGGCCAGAACCTGCAGGTTGGGTCCCCATTGATTCACTTAGGATATGGCTGCCTGCTAATGCATCTGGGAAAGCAGAGGAAATATTCAGGCCCATGCACGCAGGTAAGGAGACCTGGATAAAGCTCCTGCCTTCAGCCTAGCCCAGCCCTTGGAGGCTGTGCCCACCTGGGAAGTTACAGAGTGTCTCTGTAACTCTGCCTTTCAAATACATTAATTAAAGAGAGAGAAAAGGGACCCAGCTGGACATGGGCCCAGCACAAAGGCCCAGTGGCTAAATCCTTGCCTTGCATGTGCCAGGATTGCTGGTTTGTGTCCTGGATGCTTCACTTCTCATCCAGCTCCCTGTTTGTGGCCCAGGAAAGCAGTAGAGGATGGCCTGGGGCCTTGGAAGCTTGCACCCACGTGGGAGACCTGAAAGATGCTCCTGGTTCCTGACTTTGCATCAGCTCAGTTCTGGCCACTGCAGTCATTTTGGGAGCGGAGCAGTGGATGGGAGATCTCTATGTCTCTCCTTATCTTTGTAAATTTGCCTTTCAAAAAAAAAAAAAAAAGAAACAAATATGACACAAGACTATGAAGTTGAAACCTGAAGACACAGGGAAGAAACATGAAAAAACAGCCACATGTAGAAAAGTCTTCAAACATAAAAGAATAAAGCAGAGGCTATGCCTTCCTGCTCTTCATAAAATACTTACCATAGTGTAATTGTGAGCCACTTTATGCAAATCTGTACAACCCTGGGCATCAGCAAAAGAACGGATTCCGAGACAGTTGGATGGGTGAAGCTGTTTCATTAAAAACTTACAGCATGCTTCCACTACCTGTGACAGCTGCAGAAGGCAAGCTGTAGATAACAGGCACTCGATATTATCTTCTTTTAATTCAAGGCGGCCTTAATGAGAAAAGGAAATCCCATTAGCTACAGAACTGCATTAACCTTATTTTATAAAATATTTTATATTAGTAACATTTCTAATTATGGGCTCTTACAGACCTTGGTTTAAGACATTTTAGAGGGAAAAAAAGTACTAAATAAATAAGCTTTTTGTAACTACTCTTAAACACTAATGACTTCTTCGTAACATTTTTACATAAATATGTTATATAACTTACATTTATTACTTATAACCTTTAGATTGCAAATGTACAAATTTGACATTACATGATTCATATACTCATTAACATTTATAACAAAATTTATAACTGGATTAACTGTCTGAAGATTCTAAAACAGAGACTTTAACCATTATGGTTATCACCAGCAGTGATAATAACAACTTAGTTAAGTGTTAACTATGGCATACTTTGTAAAAAGCAGAAATCTGAAATCTAATTGTGGGACTTAAATCTGAGGGGTTCTTCTTCACATTTGCAGACTTTTTACCTGTGTATGCATACTGAATCAAGGACCATAACGAATTTGGTTCTACACCTTCCATTTTTATTTCTTCCTGTCTTGCTTCTCTGACATCATTGGTAAACATGGCAGCAAAATAATCCGAGACAGAGGACAGCACCAATCTGAGAACACATGAGGGGGAAAAAAAACGGCCATATTAAAGTTCATGTTCATCAGTAAATGCCTTTTCTTTTTTTATTTGTTACTCAAAGAAACTGCATGGTACTGAAAAATGCATTTTACATTTGACAAATTGCTTTATGCTCTACTTCCTCCCACTGAATAATAAATGATCATCTGAAACCTTTTTGCTGAGGTAAGTGATTTTACCTGTTCACTACTCAACTACTGCTTTATAATATCCAGAAAACAAGCGTTAAAATGACTACATAAAAAATAGGAGGAGGGGACTGTAAAGGTTATTTTTCATTTATCAGTTTTATAATAATAAATTCTATTTTAAAAATAATTGTAGAAGCAATGAAATTATGGGTGACCTTTGAAAATAATTTTAGCATGCTATTTTCAACTTTTATAATTTTATGGTGCTTATATAACACTAAAAACTATTTTGTTATTAGCCATGTCCATCAAGATTTGACAGTCTCATAAAAATAAACATTTTTTCTCTGAAACATGCATTATTTCACTTGATAATGACTTCAGGGTATTCTCATACGCCCACTTACTTTACTCATTTCTTTTGTTTCCCCAAGAGAAACTTATTTTAAAACATGGGAAGGAAACTTAGAGTATTTAATCAATATTATCTGTGTTAAACACAATGTATTCTTTAAGTCATCTTAACATGGTGCATTTTACATTTTAATATCAGAAAAATAAGACTTATGTGCAAACTGTCCTATCAGAACAGAACTTATTTGTTGCATTATTTTATTTATATAGGATGAACAAATTTCATGTATTTCACAGTACAGATTTAGTCACACAATGATACTTAAAATATGGAGCGCTTCAAATTTGCATGTCATCCTTGCACAGGAACCATGCTAACCTTCTCGCTGTCGTTCCAGTGTTAGTGTAGGTGCTGCCAAAGTGAGCACATTTTATTCATTTCTTAAAATCAAAACCATGACATAGTTAATGGTTGAAGCTTCCTCTGTGGCCCACCTTTGTCCCATTCTCCTCCCTCTCCAGGAGTGCATTACTGAGTGCTAAGGTTTGCCAAATTGCTCTCCACAGTGCTGTGGCAATGCAGACCCCTGCCAGCACTATCTATGAGCTAACAGTTCCTTGGTGCATGGTCAGACTGCAACATTTCTCACTACCTGTAAAGTATTAAATGAATCTCTTTGTTTCCATTTTTATTCACCTACCGAAGCTGTAGGTCTTCAAAGAAATTGACATTTATTCATTCATTTATTAAACAAAAACAAGTACTGGTAATGTGGATAACACTTGTATGTACTAGATACTGTTTTAAACACTCGCATACATCAGTGTACAAAACAGACAACAGATCCATTCTCCCATGGGGTCTTGCATTTTCAAGGCAAGGGAGACAGACAAGGAGATGTAGAAATAGCTTCTCTATATATTAAGAGGTGATGATGATAATGGCTATCGGGGAAAAGTGGACGAAAGGTAAATAGGAACAGGATGATAAATGTAAAAAGCTGGTCTCTGAAAGGTGACATCAAGGGCAGGATTTAGTCACCCATGTATTTGGGAAGAACTGATGCTGAAATTCCAAGACCTGCAAGGCGGTTGATGCGGTTCCTACAGAGTGAGCCAGGACGGAAGGCAGTACCGACAGTGGAGATGGTTGTGCTGTATAAACACTGCCTGTGCTGTGGCCTTCAGGGGGACAGGAGTCGATCACAACTGCACCCAGAGGAACAACTGGCTCTGAGTTCCTTTTTAAAGGATCTCTCTGGGCAGCTGTGTGGGAAACAAGGGATGCTGGGATATTGGAAGATGGGTCAGGAAGGCCTTGCATGAAAATGTAAATGAGAAGGTGACAGTTCGCCCAAGCATGGCAGATAAGGTCATGAATTTAGGGTTTTTTTTTTTAATTACATTGCATTATGTGACACAGTTTTTTAGGCACTGGGACTCCCCTTACCCCTATGGATTTAGTTTTGAAACTACAGAATTTGAGATGCTGTTAATCATAAGATGTTTTCTAACAAACCCATGCTCAGAACATGGGTTCTTTGTCACAGAACACAGTAGTAGTTCAGTAAATAAATGCTGAGTTATTGAAAACTAGAGCACGAAGTCCACTCTTCCTAATGATTCTACAGATTTTTTTTTAATCTGGAGAATTTTTGTTTTGAAGGGCATTTATTTATATATATCTGGGGTCATTGTAACTAACAGAAACAACTGAATATGGAATTGTGAAGAGAAAAATGAATGATTCTTTATTGAATAGCTCTTTCCCTTTTCTTAAGAAATACATCATTTGTACTAAAGGCTTTTTTCCCCTAGCACTGTTTTTCATATCTCTTGGAGACCAGCAAACAGAAGCTAGGATAGCTGTGGCTGTTTGAAAACTCTGAAGACTTTCTGTTACTGCACTCTACAGTTTACTAACTTCTCAATGTCAATAAGGTCTAATTTCCTTTGAACTGATTGAACGCATTATTAGGAAGAATGCTGCCCCAAGCTGCTGATAGTAGCTGAAATCTTTATCAAGCAACAGTTGTCATTAGTGAGCCTTGGTTTTGCGCTTCACAGGGAAAATGTCTTTTAGGATCATCTGCAGTATAACCATTTCTTAGGCAGAATCTGTACAGGTTCCATGACATAGATCCTTCCCCAAGGCATGTGGGTTAACCAGAGTAGGTTACTTCAAAACAAACTCATACAGAGAGAAAATTGAAAAACAGTTAATTACCTGTGAGCTGGAATCCTGCGATCACCAGCAACTAAAATGACATCACATAACTGTTTGTGTCTCAAATAGTTTTCCATTTTTTTAAATGTTTGCTCAGCGTGATTAAGGGCTTGGAAAAATTCATCTGATGAGCATGGCTCCATAGTATGACAGGATGACAATGTCTGACTGCTATTGGAAGTCCTAAAAAGAAAGCAAGCATACACTTCAATTATCACGATCACAGTACAAATATCATTCCTGTAAGTTCTTCTAAAACCTTCCAGTGCAATAAAAAAAAAAAAAAAGTGCTGTTATACCAGTACTAACATACCATCACGTATCATTTGTCTTTAAAATCAAGGAGAGCTCCAGTCATAGGTGTCTTACAGACACTGGCAGTGAATGTGACATCTGCTAGTTAATAACTACATGTATTCTTTGTAGCGCCTGCGTTGTAAGTCTCATCTCTGGTTAAACCCAAGGTCTCTGCTGAGAAAGAGCCACTCTGCCTACATATTAATAGTCATAGCCTGAGCTAATAGCTTGAAGAGTGTAAAAGACAGTTATTTTTCATTTTTGAAGACAGACACACAATTCAAATATTTTGGAAGTACAAATGCAAATCATCCTTTACTTTTAAACAGGCTATGCTCCACAGTTCATTTAGAAGATATTATCATAAAAGCAGTATTAGAAGCCATCTTGTGGTTCCCTAGTCAGCTCTCAAAAGTGTAAGTAAACTATAATTTGTTATAGGTTAAAGCAATTTGGTGACCTAATCTAAGTGTCTGGAGACATTATCTGAACTTTCCAAATCATAATCTGATGAGGATGAGTCTCTCTGTTTTCGGCTGATTTTCCAGTGGAAATGGTGAAGAAGACCTATGGTTGGAATCAGTAGTAATGTTCTGAGTCCACATTCCACCCTGTCCCACACCTGTTCTCTCCAAAACACCCAAATCAAGGAATCAACATCCACCCACTGAGAAATTTAACTGCAAAAACCAATGAATGTGACATTTTTTATCTGAATGTGAATTTTTTATCTGATTTTCTTTTAAGACTATTATGATTCTGACAAATGCTTTGTTGAATCAAATCTTATTACAATTTAAGAGAATCTTTTAAAACAACTCCTTAATAATCTTCTCAAAAGAAGAAGCAATCATAACTGAAGCCAAGGAAACTAGTGCCTTGTGAGTCACAAAGCAGGCCTTTTTTGGTGCAGTGGTTCTGACACCATTTGAAATGCCCGCCTTCCACATCAGAGCACCTGGGTCTGAGCCCCAGCTCTGCTTCTGATTCCAGCTTCCTGCTAATGGGTGGCAGCAAGTGATGGCTCAAGTAACTGGGTTGTCACTCATGTAGGAGATAGGACTTTAGTTTTGGGCTCCTGGTGTTAGTCTGGCCCAGGCCTGGCTGCTGCAGGCATTTGGACAGCCAAGCAACAGAGGAAGATCCGTCTCCCATGTGGGTGTGTCACGGGCTGTCTCAGGGTTCATGTAAGCAGGAGGAAGATGGAATGAAAAGCACAGCTGGGCTCAAATTCAGGCACTCTAGTATAGCAGGTATAGCAGGCAGGCATCCCAAGTGGTATCTTGACCATTATATAAAATGCCCCTGGACCCATGTGGGAAACTGGGATGAAGCTCCTGGCTTCAGCATGGCCCAGCCCCAGCCACTGCAGCCATTTGGAGAGTGAACAAGCAGATGTAAGATCTCTCTCCCTCTTTTTGTGTAACTCTTCCAAATAAAGAATTTTTTAAAAATGCAGAGCAATTAGCATTCAAGCAGCAGTTTAATGTGCTGCACCCAAAACCAACCCCTACACACCGTACCAGTCTTCAAAAGACATTGCAGTGATCCTATTAAATTTCACACTCTGAAAACCATTGGTGTACATGACAGTCAAGAGACATATAAAAACCAGCACATGAAAAACAGTTCAAAATACTGTGGATACTTTGTTTCGAATCTATGTAAACTGCATTTCCTTTAAATATGCTAAGTGAACAGGTACTTAGAAAACTTCATGGAAAACTTGTTTTCAAAATCAGCATACATGCAAAATAACTTTTTACCCTTATAAAAATTATCAAAAAATTTATACTTCTAAAATAACATTTCAACTTCCTTCATCTACTTTTTTATAACATTTCTAGATTTGGCAGTCTTTAACATTTTCTCAGATTCTCTTCATTTGCAAGTATTATATACATACACATACATACTATTTTTCTTGAGAGCAGGAGTATTAATATTATACAATGTGAGATTCCTGACAAGAATCATAAAGAAAAAATTATGTTATGTAGAGGGCATAATTCACTGAAGACAACACACTCCCCAGTATACCAAATAATATGACATTAACACATATTTAATACTCTCTTTATATACCAATCTCCACAATGAGAGAAAACACAGGATTGGTGTCTGGCTTATTTCATTTAGCATGAGGATATTCAGTTACCAAGATTTTTATTGCAAATGTCTTCACAGAACTAGACAAAACAATGTTAAAATTCATATAGAACCACAGAAGAGCCTGAACAGCTAAAGCACTTGTGAACAATTGGAACAAAGTCAGAGGCATCACAACGCCAAATTTTAAGATAAACCACAGGGTTATTATAATCAGAAGAGCATGGTACTGGCATAAAAATAGACACGAGGGCCAGTGGAATAGACTAGAAATCCCAGAAATAAATGTACCCATCCACAACTAACTAATCTTTGATAAATGTGCCAAAAATTTCCTTGCAGAAACAATACTATCTTCAATAAATGCTGTTGGGAAAATGGATTTCCATATACCTTATATTTTACACTGAAATCAAGTCAAAATGGATCAAAGATCTAAATGCAGGACCTAAACTATCAATTGTTAAAGGGGAACATAGGAGAAAAACTCTGAAACATCTGTCTAGTCAGTGACTTTCTAGATAAAACCCCGAAACACAGGCAATAAAACCAAAAATAGACAAGTGGGATTATATAAAACTAAGAAGCTTCTGCACAGCCAAGGAAGCAATTAACAAAGAGAAGAGACAACTGACAGAATGGGAGAAAATATTTTCAAATTATACATAAGGAGCTCAAGAAATTCAACAAAAAATTCAAGTAAGAAATGTGCAAACAACATGGACATTTTTTTCAAAAGAGATACAAATGGCAAATGTATATTAAAAAATGGTCAAGATCACTAGCCATCACATA